GTGCTCGACAGGCCTGCCCACCGCCCAGGCGGCCCGCCGGGTGAGCTGGCAGACCCGCTGCGCACCGGTGCTCGACAGGCCTGCCCAGTGCCCACCCCCCAGGCGCTCGCTTACGTTTCCTATGTAATTTAATCGCGCAATATTTATTTTTTTGAGTTGACATATTTCCAACCCTTTTCCCTGTGTATTGGTTTCATGCTTTTGTACGGTAATTGTTTTCTCTGTTTGTTTGTTTGTTTGTTGCCCTTTTTGATCGCCGTAATATCCCCCGTCGACTGTCTTCTTAATCTGTCCCCCGTTTTGTATCATGAACAACGTGTCGTTTGTTTTCAGGAACGCGTCAAGGTAGTAAGTATGCGGCCTGGATATTGAGCATTGTCGGCACCAGACGGTATTTGTTTATACTTTAGTCTCGCACCTGCCTTCTAGCCCCGCCCTCTGCGTTCTGTCTCTACTGTCTGCACATTGCGGCTGCCCCATCATCATCATCTGTTCATTTAGAAAGTCACCCAAGACCTCACAAAGTTCTAAATCACCCGCTGATGTTGACTGCGCCACTCGTTAAGTTTGTATTATTGCATCTTTCGGCGTTTTTTTTTTCTTTTGTCCACAATGAATTTCCTTGCATTCCCTGACGAACAAGCATGTATTCAAAATGTAGTTGTCGTATAATCGGAATGGTGCCGTTGAGTTAGTTAGATGACCCCCCCCCCCCTTTCCCCCTTATCTAAGCTCATGTCACTGTCTTTACTCTGCTTACACTTTTTTAGCGTAGATCTTCCAGTCGTCGTAGCGGTTGCTTCCCGCAGCTCAGTAGGCGTAGGCTGTAGCATTTGATAGCGCTCGCAATTACAAAACTCACCTACACTTCAACAAATTCTCAACATTCCTTCTAATCATTTCTTTTTCATGCATCTGTATTTTGTCATGCCTCTTTGAATGACGTTGCCTTTAATACTTTGCATATGAAGTGAACCGTCGTTTTGGAAAATGAAACGTTAATTAAAACAGAAACAATTCAAAGGCCAGATATGAACAGCAGCCGCAACGATGTCGATACGACCTCCTGTCGGTTTGCATCGTTTTCTTGAGCTGCTCTTCTTCTGGGAACTCCCTCCGACTCCGAATGCAAGCCGAGCATGTCTGTTGCAGGGGAAGGGAACGGGCTCAGGGCACAGGACCCTCCTGTACGGCAATGCCATCCTGCTCCGGCACCAGAACAGCGACATGGTGAGTCGACAGAGCGAGTGATCCCTTTCAAATGACACTACTCAACAGTGCACTAAACTTGCGTCCTGTTCAGTACCTGGCGTGCCTGTCGACCAGCTCCTCCAACGACAAGCTGTCGTTCGACGTGGGCCTGCAGGAGCACTCGCAGGGCGAGGCCTGCTGGTGGACCGTGCACCCGGCCTCCAAGCAGCGGTCCGAGGGTGAGAAGGTCCGCGTCGGCGACGACCTCATCCTGGTGTCGGTGGCGACCGAGCGCTACCTGGTGAGGAGGGGGGAGGACGACGGCCAACTCTGTGGGCAAGTCGGCGACGTCCACCCCCGCACTCACACGCATCCTTCTCGCACCCCTTGTTGCAGCACACCACCAAGGAGAACGACCTGTCCGTGGTGAACGCCTCCTTCCACGTGACGCACTGGTCAGTGCAGCCGTACGGCACCGGCATCAGCCGCATGAAGTACGTGGGTGAGTACATCCTCAACCAGATGCATATGGGCGAGACGAGACAGGAGACGCCGCAGACATCTCCAGGGCCGGGCAGAGTGTCTTTCTTTGGCTACCGCGGGCGACCGCGGCAGCGCCGGCGCCCCTCCAATATGGATAACTGG